TGCCATTGGGATGGTTTAGTGTGTTTTTATTCTCTTTTTCTAAAGACACGCTTTTGGAACGTTTAACCTGTTGGTTTTGAAGCAGTTACTGCCTGTCTTTGACTCTGTGCAAGAAGTCACAACTAAGTAGCTGAAGCACTTTTATAATTTCTTTCTTGTGCCCAATGAAGAGGTGGTACAATTTACTTCTATTTGTAAAACCAAGAAACAATGCTTAACTGTCAGTTTTTTATTATGTGGGTTGGAACCTTCTTTTCAGTAGGATATGCTTTTGGAAGCTACTGTAAGTTCTTCTGATAGTGAGAAAAAAAGCGTTCTTAGGCTTTGTATTTAAAGAAAATGTTCTTTATGATTTGAAAGGCTTAAGAGCTGAATTTTTCTAGGTGCTTTAAAAATTATAATTTGCAGTCTAGGTGATCAGAATTAAAATTTTGGGAAAATTGACTGTACATGTGTAGCTAAAGACTGTTCTGTAGCCTCACATTCCTTCTGAAGGAGCCATGGGTCTGCAGCGCTGATACATAAAATATCTAAAATGTGGTTAGATGAGAAAGGTAAGGTCACGCATGTTGCATTTAAACTCCCAAGAGGAACTTAGAAGAGCTTTCATACACTCATGTAGTTAGTCACTTTTGAAATCCAGAAAACTTTTTGACTTCTTTTTGGTAATTTATCAATGGCAGTTCTTCAGAGAAAGGCGGTTTTAAGAGACTTGTAAATGTTCTGGGGAGGTCTCTCCGTTTACAAGCGTGTGTTGGGCAGTGACAGACAATCGCATATCCATTTGATTTAGGGCAAGTGGTTTTTATTCTTTAGCATCTTCTCTTGACACAAGCCTGCGGTATAAACTGCAGGGAACCTACCTGGCAGAGTTGACAGAGACACTCAGAAGTGAGCGAGCTGGAGGGTGAAGTGTACCTCTCCAGGGTAAACACTTTAATGCAGAGTTAGAGTGGAGAGTGGAAGTTTCAGTGTGATGCCTGCCGTGTTGTCTTGATGTGGGTGCTGGCGTCGGTCTCTGTGTTTCGTTACTGATCTGCTAAGGACCTGGCCAGGAAGTTAAATTGGCCTTGAGTGGGAGATAGATATATGCACACGCATGCAATACATAACGATGATGAAGATGGGGCGGGGGGGCTGTTGGGTTTTTATTTTTTTCTTTTTGTCATCTCCTACTTTCCTAATTTTTTGAAATGTGAAGCCAATGACTTCCGTATCACTGAACACTTCTATTTCAATACTGTAATACTCTAGCAATGTGCAAAGGAGCAGTTTGGAACTTACTGCAAAAGAAACATTAAACCAACTAGAGTTTTACACTGGGAAGCAGTACAGTGTTGTGATGCAGTTGTGCAGTCTATATTTTTTTTTTAATGGAAAACTTTGGAAAATTGAAGAAGGGGGCATGGACAGGGCAAGAAGCTGCCGTAGAAGAGGACGGGGGGGTATGGCCAGCCCGTGTCGATGCATGCAGTTGTTTTCTTGTCTGGATTGTCAAAGCAAGGAAACAAACCTGAAGTGACAGTTCTGCAGAGGAACACATGATTTTTTTTTCTAAAAGGAAAACAAACTTGCTTTATAACGACACCGTATCTTGAGTATTCACAGTGTGGTTTTGTCGCCTCTCTGCTTTGTTCATGTCTGGAAGCAGAAATAGGTTTTAGCAATAAAACTTTAAGTAATAAACCCCTGGTAGTTAGAGAGCTTCTTGAACTGTTTTCTAGATCTCTGAATGGGTCTGCGTTGCACTCCTTTGCTCTTCAGTCTCTGCCAGTAGTGCTATGTTGTTGTAGAGAATTAATAAAATTTATAGGATTAAAAGCATGGCTAATGGACAGTGGAATGTATTCTCAGTATAATAATCTTCACTCCTTAAAAAAAATAATCAGCTGGAAAATTTATTTGTGCATAGGATCTCACACAGTACTTAACTCCTGAAAGGAGATTTGCGGTGTACTCATTATTTCTCCTAATTCTTGCCTCAGCAGTACTTTGAGGTGGTGGGGGGGAAACCTTCTGTAAAGGGAAATAAATGTTATAAATGGGATATGATTATGCTTCATGATGCCTCTGCAGAAAGCTCCTGTCTAGTCTTCTTTTGCAACCACCAAACAAGCGGATCAAAACCTGAAGTTGGTTGTGAAAATAGTTGTGGCCGGTTTGTGAAGCATCATGGTTAAGGAGTATTTAAGAAGAGGCAACCATTTAAATCAGTACAAAAGAGCATGTGGGATGTGGCTCACGATGTTACCTGCAAGAAGGCTCCCAGTACGAAAGATCATAGTGCTTAGGTTCCGTTCTGTTGCAGGAACTGCAGAATCCCAGCTCGGCTGGAAATAACGCCTAGCTGTGGTGGGGAAGCTTGTGACAGCCAGAGGAGGCAGCTAGTGGCAAAGTACTTGCTGCCTGCGGAGAGGGAAAGCTGCCGTGCTGGGCGTGCAGACCAGGAGCGTGCCAGCTATCGAGGGAGGTGTGAAAGGAAGCTGGCACGGCTGAACATCAGGCAAAGACAGTTATTAGAAAGCTGAAGCAGTATCCAAATGAGGAAAATTTTAAGGATATCGAATCTGGCAAGTAGAATGTAGAAGCATAAGACAGAACAAAAGAATTTGAGGAATATATTTTGAGAAGCCTTTTGTAATAATTGTCTTTCAGTAATTAGTAGTAGCAAGCCTACCACAAGCTGCAGGGCCATGAGACGATTGCTTTAAAAAAAACCCTTTCAGAAAAGAAGATGATGGCAGAAAACCTTTGCTTTGCATCCATGTTCATTGTTGAAAACCTTGGAGAGGTTGCTCTGCCAAGAACCTTTAATGGGTAACTCATCAGAGGGACTCTCTCAGATGAGTGTTTGTTAAGAGTTTAGAGAACAAATGAACAACACGAAAGCAAGTTGCTAGAACTAGACAATGTTCATCCAATAACTTTATAGAACGCGAGAGATGAAGTAATTTTTACTCAAGTTGCTAGAACTAGACAATGTTCATCCAATAACTTTATAGAACGTGAGGGATGAAGTAATTTTTACTAATTGGTTTGTAATGACTCTTTAGTTAGGCACTTTGAGGTCGTTGGATATAAACGCAGCGTGAGGCCAGTACTAAAAGGGTGTTTACTCAGGATGTTGTCTGTGCTGATTAGAAACTGCAGTAACGTACAGAGTTCAGGGACACGTGGTAATTAGATTGTGGGAATGTCAACAGAGCTTTCGGAAAAGAAGCTGTGCCTGAAAGCTTTGGGAGCTCGGTGAAGGAGTTAGTAAGGATACTTGTAAGGAAGCTGCAGTTTGCTGTGGGAGGTAGGATTTGCAGAAGTCATTTGGTAGCCTTCTGCCCGAGACGGATAAGTCCTTGTACAGATAATTACTTAATAATTAGAGATAGATAATTAGATACAAGAAATGAAGTGACTAGGATGCTTTGGAGAGGTGAGCTGTAGCTGCTGCAAAGATACTCAGGGTAGGAGAATTGAGACTCACCTTTGAGTGACTGCAGCTAAGTCCAGAATGGATGAAGAGGTGGCAGTGGAGCTGAAGGGCAGCACGTGGAACCGGTAACTCCTTGCAGCAAGCAACACCAGGGTGGGCTTGCAATAGATAGTTCTGTGGGAACACTGGTTTGGACTCAGAAAGATGAATTCTATAAATCGTTAGGGTCACAAGTGAGAATAAAACAAAATCGGCCGTTGTCTGGGTCCATGGCGCGCTTGCATTTGGCTGTATTGGTGCAGAAGAACAGTGCTTACTTCTGTGGGTATCTGTGTGGCTGAGATGTTGGTCTTGGTGTAGGTATTTTTATTGGTTTTTGCTTGCAGAGGTCTTCAGTAAATGAGTAACTGCAATAAATGTCTCAGGTTCTTTGCTGTTCAAAGAAACGTGATGTGTTCCACGTGATCAGATGTAGTACTGGAAAGGGCTGTGCTTCATAGGAAATCTACCACCAAAGGACAGATGTATTTCAAGCTTCTGGAAAGTCAAGACAGCAGCAGCGGTTATTAAACTGTGGAGTAAACGTAGCAATGTCAGCTGGGGAACTTGGGTCTCCTTGATTCTCCCCGTGTGCGGGGCCCCACGAGCGTTTGGGTTTGTTTGAGGGGCCAGAGTTGGCCTGGTAGAGACCGCCGGGAACTCGGATTTGAGTTTGGAGTCCGCGTTCAGCCCGGCGGTGGAGCTGCGTGGGCAGCCGGTGTCCTGCGGTGCGATGGGCTGGGGTGGAGGCCGGGACTCTGACGGCTGAGGAAAATACCCGAGGAGATGGATGGACGTTGGAACAGAGCGATGCTGCGGTGCAGCCACCTGGTTAACCGCTGCAGTCCCTTGCTTCCCCCCCTTTCACCCTGTGCTGGGACTGGAGCTTTGCTTCCATCCCAGAGTGTTCAGGGAGCTGTACCAACACCTAACTTCTCTGAAAATAGAAGATAAAACACCCAAATCAAATGATTTAGCTTTGTGAGTGGGCTGTTTCTGGGACAAACAGTTGCTAACACAAGATGGAGGAGCGCGTGAAGGGGAGGGAAGCGGAGAGAAGATGGTGTTTGGGGTTGCTGTGACAGAAGGCTGTTCTCTTCGAGACACGTTGCTGTTCCTCGAGCACATTTAGCCTGCACTCTTACAGGCATGGGATACAGGGGCCTGTTCTGAGCAGTAAAATGTATGGAGACCAGTCTGAAGATGCATTTCTGGGTTAAAAAAAAATAAACATTAATTCTCCATCAGGTAAACCTGACAATAGCTGTAAACTTGAATACTTCAAGATTTGAGTTTAAAATATTTCCAGCGATACAGTGTACTTAATTTCTTTTTACAGAGCATCCTTGTTTTTTCAAGTTTATGGTGTCCTGGTTAGTAAATTCTGCTGTCCTCAAAATTCTGAAAAATAGTGTAATATTTGAATGTCTTGTATTTTCATAATGTATTTATAACTAATAAATTATAAATGGACTCTGAACCTTATAGCTGTTAGCCAGCACTCAGATTTGTATTCTTATTTCTTCACAGGATCTGGAGTTTCATGGAGTAATGAGATTCTACTTTCAAGACAAAGCGGCTGGGAATTTTGCAACAAAATGTATCCGTGTCTCTAGCACCGCCACGACTCAAGATGTGATAGAAACTCTTGCCGAGAAGTTTCGACCGGACATGCGGATGTTGTCGTCCCCTAAGTACTCGCTTTACGAGGTGCACGTCAGCGGAGGTTGGTATAGATTCACAAAGTGGTTCTTGCGTCCACACCACCTTCCTGTCCACCCCCAGGCAAAAGATCTTCAGCTTTGCCCTCGGCTCCTGAACCACAGGAGACCTGGGGGTTTTGTTCCTAAGTACGTTGCTGCTAATTGCTACCCGAGGGGGTGGTATTTCAAACCCTGAGTACGCGTGTCAGGCCTGCAGTTGATGCAAGTTTTGATTATGGTCTATTAAACAGCGCACTTGACAGCCTGCCAACTTGTTGACATTTGTGAGAGGGTTGCTATTTTTAGGACTAGAAGGTAAAGACTCAATTTATAGTGGTGGGATCAGGAGCTTTAAATTGGACCATTGAAAAATACATCCTCAGGTCTTTGGTGTTGCGGGCCTGCGACAGGCAGCCGTATAACGCGTGTTCCTTTACTGCTGAACTGGGGGAAGTTGAAGCCACTGGGTTTCTTAAACAGATTCTTTCATGTTACCTGTGGAGAACTTTGATATCTATATAGCCTTCTGATGCTGCTGACATTTGTGTCTCCCCACCCCAGTAGAAAGCTCCAGGTTGGAAGGTGGTAGCGAGTGTGGTGGTGGGGACAGGAATGGGAGAAACTAGCTTTTTGTCATGCCTTTTGGGTTTTTTTGTGCTTTGGAAGCTTACACAAGTGGTTTGACTACCTTAAATTCTGCTTTTGAAAGACTGAAAACAATTTAATTTGAGATGGAGAATGGAAATTTATTGGGATGTGTGTCATATCTCATGTTCTACAGATGATGACTTGATATAAATAATATGGGATTAGGGAAAAGTGCCTGTGTCATCACTAATTTAAGCAATGAGTAGTATGTGTTTTTTCTGCTGTAGATTTCTTTAAAAGTCTGTTAGCACTATTATACCTGTAGTCAAAATGAAGTGGTTTCCTCTGCAGAGCAAGGTCCTGATGTTCAAAAGGTGGCTCATGAGAGGGGCACCTCGTTCAG